ATACACTTACAAAGCCCCACCAGTCACCAAATTCTGTTTTTACCACGTGTCTCCTTCTGTAGAAAACAGGCTCATTTAATAATGTTTGTATTCTCACAGTAGCATTTTACTTATTTTATTGTATGGGGGGAGTCTGGTAAAGGTAATCAGATACGTTGTTCATTATCTCATGTGGACGTTAGACCATGTTAGAGAGGTACTTAGTGCAGGTAGTCAGTCCCCTTGTATACAGCACCCTCTCATACTGTATAATCTGAAGTACAGTTTGGACTTTGTTTTCCTGCCAGCTGGTGTCCCTAAGCAGGCTGGCCTTATTTGTTTCTCTTCGGTCTTTAACATTTTATGAGTGATTTGCTCCTACACTTAACTTTACCATAAGTTTTTTTTCTTTTCATTTCTGTCACCATGGTTATCTAATTGTCTCACAGCTTTCTGTGTAGTAGCTCTCTATGACCTTTTGTCACAATCATTTCCCTAAATATTTACTATTTTTTTTCCTCTTAGAGGAAGCAGATTCATTTCTAATTTTTATAATTAATTATTTGTTAATGTGCACCATACATTATATAATCTAGCTATAAACTAAGCAGAATATAATATAAAGTAAAATTGAGAATTTAGTTTTGCTTTTTGATGATGCTTAGTGATTTGGATTCTCAATAACTTAGACTTGCCTACTAGCTATTTACTGACAAACAGAGAAAGGTCTGTTGGGAATGCAACACTTTTAGGTAAGGAAAGGTAATATCTTTTACACATGGCACTTTTTGTGATGTTAAAAGTCATGTAATAATTTGCTGGAAGATAATAACAACTAAATTATGTTTATTGTAATCAACACCAAGTTAAGTATGTTAGTTGATGTTTTTCTCCTACTCTATTCTAAAGTGTATTAAAAAGTAGTATATTTCATTTGTGTATAAAGGTGCATCTGTGAACCCATGTCTGCAGTACTACAGAGTGTGCAGACAACAGAACCCTTGCTTTGTACAGGTCCCTCTCCTCCTTCACATCCTCAGGACCAGCTGCATCTTTTTCACTGATCTTTAAAGGTTTAAGTGAAAATAATAGAGACTGTGAATGTAACAAGTTAGATATTAACAAATGTGAAAGAATTCCCACAGGCTTGGTACCAATTCCTGCTAGGCTACACCAGGCCTAGCTTTGGAGTTATCATATAGAAACTTCTGTCATGTTTCTGCTGTTTTTGTTGGATTATTTTATCCATCATTTTGCTCAAATATAATGGCTACCATTAAAGTCAACATATGTTACTTTTAGAAAAGTGACTGATATTACTTGATTCATTCAGGAAGATTCTTTTGATCAGAGAATTGAGCTTATTGATATTTAAAGGCATTATTATCATATTGTAGGATCTGGATATGTCAATGGCACCAGAAGAACATTACACATAGATCCAAATGAGCAGGGTCCATCAGGACTCACAGAGAATAAAGTGGCAATCATTAATTCTGCCATGGATTGGCACTAGGTTTTTGACATGCATATATGTCATGGTTGTTTAGATTGGGTATTTGTAGGACTCCTAGAAGTGGCAGTGGCTGTATTGCTGACTTTTTTTGCCTGCTCTTGGGACTCTCTTGCTCCAACTTGTCTCTTCCATGCTTAACATGATAGTTTGCGCCTTATCTTATTGCATCTTGATATGCTGTGTTTGGTCCTATGCTTGGGAAGCATGTTCTTATGTAAACAGAAATGGAGAAACGCATATCTGGGTGAAGGGAGATGGCGAAAGACTAAGAATGGTGGAATGGGAGGCTGTAGTCAAAATGTCTTGTGTGATAGAAAAGTAAATAAAAAGAAAACAGAAAATAATAATTATGTTAGTTATGGTCATCTTGTTGTTGATTTTTGTGCTTTTATTTTCAATGTCATGTTTAGATGAGCAAACACAGCTTTGTTTCCTCTCTATCGTCCCTTCAATGTGCTCATTCCTCACTTTAGTCAGAGATGTTTGTTCCTATACTTCTTTATATTTAGTTGATAGTAATTTGCTGCAGTCCACGCAACCTGGATGCCAAGACTGGCCGGAGGGGGAGGGGCACGGTGGCTTCTTTTCAAGTTGGAAGAACAACAACCTTTATTTTTCCCAGCCACCTTATATTCCTCTACTGCTTCTGTGGAGACCTACCAACCAGAAAGAACACAAACATCCTTGTCAATTACAGACCACAAGGAAGTCTGCTGTCAGTCAAGGGGAGTGAGGGCAGCTGGATCACAACAGTAATTTACTTCAGGCTGCTTACATCATGAAAGTTTTCCTCTTTGTCCTTCAAATGTGGCAAAAAGATTCACTGGGAACAGAGAGGCAGGGACAGAGAGATCAAAGGGATCCTGAAGAAATGCAAAAAGTGTTAGTATCTCAGACAGAACCACAGAACCAAGAAGAGCCATGGGGAGTCCCTGGTGTTGCATCAGAAACTATGATGTTCCATTTGGGACCAGGGAAAAGCATGTGCTACCAGGGGATTTTAACATGCAATCATTTGCCTGGCAAGTGCAAAGAATCACCACCAACTCACAGTAGCCAGCATCTCACATAAACAAACACTTCTCAGGGGCTGTTCAAATACATCCTCGGAGCTCACATATGATTGCCTCAATCCCTGAGTTTTGTGACTCTGGCCGCAGGCTCAGGATTTCAACTAGAGATAGTACAATTGTATGAGTACCTATCTCCCTCCTGCCCAGGCATCAGATTTTGCTCTGGGAAGCACTGAGAGACATAAGTTGGGAAACAAAGAAATCCGGTAGGTTTAGCCTCCTAGAACACATGATCTTACAGGAATGAATCTGGAGGTGGAAACATGAATGCTAAGGTTTGGACAGTGTGTGCTGAACTTTTCTTTCAGTTCTGATGGTTTCTCTTATCCTTCAGCCTCAGTTTACAGTCAGTCAACCTGTCAGAAGCTACATGCCCAGAAAGTCACTTGATGGTCTACTCAATACCAGGTTCTTGAATGGGCCTCCAAACCCCAAATCCAAATATTTGTGTTTATTTGTTCTTTGCCTTTGAGACTCTGGTGCCAAGCCAAGTGCCTGCAAGGGTCAGAACTCAATCTGTGTAATTAACTCATGAATACTTTTAAACCAAATATATGGCGATCGTAAAGGAAGAAGAAAAGTGACATCCTTTGTACTAGTGGTAAAGGTAAGAGTAGTGGGCTGGAGGGCACTTGCAGCTTCCCTGGGAGAGCTTTCAATTTGTGAATTAGTCCTTTCAGTCCTAGAGAAGGTGATCTATCCCCAAACAAAACCTGGTCAAAGTGGAGCCTCTCCTGGCTCCTGAGGCCCTTTGTACCTAGTCTTACATGTTAGGTTGATATCCATGGCAAACTAGCTCTTTTACTGAAGGGAAATGGAGGAGGGTCTGGGGGAGAGGAGGTGAGGACTGGGCAGAGTGGAGGGAGAGGAAATTGTGGTCAAAATGTCCTGTATGAGATTATGATTGTTGATTGCCTTGGTGGGTTACTTAGTCTAGGGGTTTGTAACCCGCCTGGCAGTTCAGTTATTCCAGGGTCCCGGAAAGGCACTATCTGGAAGATATGAGCTGAGAGAGCAGAATGAGGCTATGCTAAGTTTGTCAGAGCCTCCGTTTATTAGAGATGGGGTACAGCTTACATAGGGTAAGGAGTTGGGGGGGTCGGCACAGGGGCCTGAGCTCTTGCCACATGGTTCACTTTCGTCACGTAGCCAGGAGGTCACAACTAGGAGATGACACACCTAGTTCTCTAGATAGTTTGGAATGTGGGATGGGTTCCGCTAACAGATAGCTCTCCATTAACAGCCAATTTGGGTGTGGGGTAGGCTCTGTCAATAGAAGGATTCCTAACACAATTAGGGGTGTGGGGTTCTCTGCAGACTCCCTAGGGTGATGGTTCCTGCAATGATTTTAGGAGGAAATTGGCTCCTGACAAATGATAATAATTAAAATTCCTGATGAAATCACTGAGAAAATGGCACAGTGTTTCAGGGGTGTGGAAGAGTTGGAAAGAACTCACGGACACTAGAAAACACATTTTAAGATGTGCATCTAAGTGTCACCATGATTGTGTGGCCATGATATACAGAATATTTTCCCAAGTGTTTCACACTTTGTCCTTTACCTAGAAGATTTCAAATGTGCTCTCTGCAAAATAGCATGTTAACCCCATGTGTTCTTCCCTACAGGCTTTCTGTCGTCTTTCATGGTACTTTAATTTTATTTTATTCTAATCCATTAAAAAAATGTCTCAAAAATCCAAAAAAAAAGAATTTTGTGTAATGGAAATAAAAAATAAAGTAAAATAAAGTTAACATCTTTCTTCCTTCCAATATTTATTCAATAATCTCTACTGGGTACCTGCCTGTGAGAGAACCTAGAGATGGATTAACTGCAGTTGACAAGAACACAGTTCTAGAGCAGCAGAGATGGCTCAGTGTTTAAGAGCACTGGCTGCTCTTGTAGAGGACCTGGGTTCAGTTCCCATCACTGCCATGGCAGTTCACACCCATCTGTAACCCTAGTGGCAGGGGATCTGAGATCCTCATCTGACCTCTAAGTGCACCAAGAACACATAGTTTTAGATATATGTAGGCAAATGCTCCTTGGCATTGAAAAAAATTAAGAGAAAACCAAATCTGCAAATAAAGATAAATTTCTGTGGCATAAATTTGAATGAATTTATGAATAAATGAATGAAATGGAGGAAACTTTCTTTTCCTACGCCCTCAGATTCGATGCCCAGACTGTCATTGACGTGTCTTTAATTCCATGGAATGTTGTATAAAATGTCACAGAGGGTGAGAATAAAGGGATAAAGATTGCACCATGAATTTCCCGTGCTGGACGGGGTACAAGGAAACGGGTGGAGAGGCTGCTGCGAGCTTTGCCGGTGACTGTTTCAGGCTCCATTCAGATACCGTAGTCCCCGATCCGGAAATCGTCCGCTGCCGGAAGTGACGCGCGGCTTGGAGCTCGCGGGAAACTCGTCTATCTGGCTGGAGCACCGGTGAGACTCCAGCAGCCATGAGCTTCTGGGTGGACGAATACAGGCCGTGCTACCTCGCCTGGCTGGACTATCACAAGGAACAGGCGGCGCAGCTGAGCAACCTGGTGAGCAGACCCGGACGGCGGAGGCCGGCACGTTCCGCTGCTTCCTGAAAAGCCCGAGGATAAGGGAGTGAGAAGGCGGGCGCTGCAGGGTTAGGGGGACCCAAAGTGACAAGTTCCTCGGAGTGCTGCTTCTGCTGCCCGGGGTCCCGTGAGCTTGGGGTGCGGACCTGGCGGAGGCTGCAAACCCCGGTTGTAGGAAGGGCTGGGGCCGGCAGGCTCTCCTGCTGCAGGTAGCTAGATGGCGGGCTGATGGAGGGGACAGTGCCCTGCACCCTGTTCGTAGTTACTAGCCTCTTCGGAATCACAGCTAAGTCCTTTCTGAAAACGAGGACTTATTTTACCTAGTGCCTCTATCCTCCATATGAGAGTTTTTGGAAGAATCGGGAGGGAAGTGGAAGATATGTTTTAGTTGTCTTTTTTGTTTGTTTGTTTGTTTGTTTGTTTTTGTTTTTCGAGACAGGGTTTTTCTGTGGTTTTGGAGCCTGTCCTGGAACTAGCTCTTGTAGACCAGGCTGGTCTCGAACTCACAGAGATCTGCCTGCTTCTGCTTCCTGAGTGCTGGGATTAAAGGTGTGCGCCACCACCGCCCGGCTAGTTGTCCTTTTTGTTGTTGTTCTTATAATGCGTGCAATAATATAAAAATCGAGCATTATACTTCATGTGTATGCACACCGGTTTTTACAGTAGCTTCAACGTTAAGTTTTCTAGCCATAGGATGGACACATTTTATTGATTCCTGTGGCTACTTGTGTATATTCTTAGGATAGGGGTTAGTATACTATTCCTACGCCTTAATGAATTTACTTTTAAAGTCTACATCTTCTCATCGGATCAAGCCCCCATGCCCATAGTGCCCTTTAGTTTGATGTCATTGTCTTATTTCTGTTTGATAACACACTCTTTCCCATAGCATCCCTTATGTGCAGTCTTCCTGTACCCCCAAATGAACTTGCAAGGGAACCAGTGTACCCACTTCTTAGCAAGAATATCATTTTGGGAACCCAGGCAAGACAGTAACAGAGATCAGTTCCACATTCCCATCAGCCCTCATTTTTGAAAGTGCCCTTCAGAGAGCTTGCTGAGGGAGTTCCTGCCTTTAAGCATTTAGTGTTGTGCCTTGCATGTTCTGTGTTGTTCGTGCAAGTTAGATTAAATTAGTGCCCAGAGAAAGCAAACTGAGAGTTTGATAAATTTCTATTGGAGTTAGATAGTAAACAAAATTCCATAGTACCTTAGAAGTAGTTCCTTTAGCCAGGCGATGGTGGGGCACGCCTTTAATCCCAGCACTCGGGAGGCAGAGGCAGGCAGATCTCTGTGAGTTTGAGACCAGCCTGGTCTACAGAGCTAGTTCCAGGACAGGCTCCAAAGCCACAGAGAAACCCTGTCTCGAAAAACAAACAAAAAAAAAAAAAAAAGAAGAAGAAGAAGTAGTTCATTTAGCCTGGAGCACCTGGGTTTGACGAGAGTGAAACGCCTTGTTCCTTCTTCCCTACATGCAGGGTGGTGACTTTACTCACCTCCTAGTATATGGGCCGTCAGCTGCTGTAAAAAATACAAGAATTATGTGTATTCCACGAGAACTTTATGAAGTCAGGGTGAATAAATTGAGAATTGAGCATCAACCTATCACAGTAAGCATCTCTTGTCAGTGCTCAGCAGATGTTTCTGGCAAGGATTTTCTTTTCTTTTTTTTTCTATTTTTTATTTTATTGAGCTATACATTTTTCTCTGCTCCCCTTCAACTCTCTCCCATGGTTTCCATGCTTCCAATTTACTCAGGAGAGCTTGTCTTTTTCAACTTTCCATGTAGATTATATCAATGTATGTCTCTCTTAGGGTCCTCATTGTTGTCTAGGTTTTCTAGGATTGTGAATTGTAGACTGGCTTTTTTTTTTTTTTTGCTTTATGTTTCAAAGCCACTTATGAGTGAGTACATACAATATTTCTCTTTCTGGGCCTGGGTTACCTCAATCAATATGATGTTTTCTAGATTCATCCATTTGCCTATGAATTTCAAGATGGCATTATTTTTCTCGTCTGTTTAGTACTCCATTGTGTAAATGTACCACATTTTCCTTATCCATTCTTCAGTCAAGGGGACATTTAGGTTGTTCCCAGATTCTGGCTATGACAAACAATGCTGCTATGAACAGAGTTGAGCACATGTCCTTGTGGCATCCTTTGGATATATACCCAAAAGTGGTATTACTGGGTCTTGAGGAAGGTTGTTTCCTAATTTTTTGAGAAATCGCCACACTGACATCCAAAGGGGCTGTACCAGCTTGCATTCCCACCAGCAATGCAGAAGTGTTCCCTTTACCCCACAACCTCTCCAGCATAAGTTGTCATCAGTGTTTTTGATCTTGGCCATTCTTACAGGTATAAGATGGAATCTCAGAGTTGTTTTGATTTGCATTTCTCTGATGACTGAGGTTGAGCATTTCCTTAAGTGTCTTTCAACCATTTTAGATTCTTCTGTTGAGAGTTTTCTGTTTAAGTCTGTACTACCTTTTTTTTTATTGGATTATTTTTTCTTTTGATGACTAGTTTCTTGAGTTCTTTGTATCTTTTGGAGATCAGACCTCTCTTTGTCTGATGTGGGGTTAGTGGAGATCTTTTCCCATTTAGTAGGCTGTTGTTTCGTCTTGTTGACCATGTCCTTTGCTTTACAGAAGCTTTTCAGTTTCAGAAGGTCCCATTTATTAATTGTTTCAATCAGTGTCTGTACTATTGGGATTATATTTGGGGAGTGGTCTCCTGTGCCAGTGAGTTCAAATGTACTTCCCACTTTCTCTTTTATAAGTTTGAATATGGCTGGCTTTATGTTGAGGTCTTTGACTCATTTGAACTTGAGTTTTGTTCATGGTGATAGATATGGGTCTATTTTCATTTTTCTACATGTTGATATCCAGTTACGCCAGCACCATTTTTTAAATATGCTTTCTTTTTTCTGTTTGATATTTTTTGCTTCTTAGTCAAAATTCAGGTGTTCGTAGGTGTGTGGATTAATATCTGGGTCTTTGATTTGGTTCCATTGGTCTTTCTGTCTGTTTTTATGCCAATACAAGGCTGTTTTCAGTACTGTAGCTCTGTACTAGAGTTTGAAGTCAAGGATTGTGATGCCTTCAGGAGTTCTTTTGTTGTACAGGATTGTTTTGCCTATCCTGGGTTTTTTGCTTTTCAGCATGTAGTTGAGTACTGTTTTTATGAGGTTTATGAATAATTTTGCTGGGATTTTGATGGGCATTGTGTTGAATCTGTTGATTGCTTTTGGTAAGATTGCCAATTTTACTATGTTAATTCTACCACTCCAAGAGAATGGGAAATCTTTCCACTTTCTGGTGTCTTCTTCAAGTTATTACTTAAAAGATTTAAAGTTCTTGTCATTCAGATCTTCCAATTGTTTGGTTAGAGTTACTTCGAGATATTTTATGCTATTTGTGGCTATTATAACGGGTGATGTTTCTCTGATGTTTTTTCTTCTGTGTAAAGGAGGGCTACAGTTTTTGTTTGTTTGTTTGTTGTTGTTGTTGTTGTTGTTGCTACATTACTGAAAGTGTTTATGAGTTGTAGAAGTTCCTTGGTAGAATTTTTGGGTTGCTTATGTAAACTGTCATATCATCAGCAAATAATGAGAGTTTGACTTCTTTTCTGATGTGTATCCCCTTGATCTCCTTTTATTGTCTTATTGCTCTAGCTAGGACCTTAAGAACTATATTGAATAGATATGGAGAGAGTGGACAACCTTCTGTTCCTGATTTCAGTGAAAGCGCTGGGAGTTTCTCTTCATTTAGTTTGATGTTGGCTGTTGCCTTCCTGTATTTTGCCATTATTATGTTTAGGTATGTTCTTTGTATCCCTGCTCTTTCCAAGACCTTTATCATGAAGGGATGTTGTATTTTGTTGAGAGCTTTTTCAAGTATCTAAATGAGTTGGTCATGTGGTGTTTATTTTTTAGTTTGTTTATATGATGGATTACATTGATAGATTTTCATATGTTGAACCATCCCTGCATCTCTGGGATGAAGCTGACTTAATCATGGTGGATGATGGTACTGATGTGTTCTTGGAATCAATTTGCCAGTATTTTATTGAGTATTTTTGCATCAATGTTCATGAGTGAGTTTGGTCTGTAATTCTCTTTCTTAGTAATATCTTTCTTTCTGTGGTTTGGGTATCAGGGTAATTGTAGCCTCATAAAAAGAGTTTGGCAATGTTGCTTCTGTTTCTGTTGTGTGGAATAATTTGAGGAGTATTGGTATTAGTTCTTCTTTGAAAATCCTGTAGAATTCTGAGCTGAAATCATCTGGTCCTGGGCTTTTATTGGTTGGGAGATTTTTGATGCCCATTTTTATTTCTTTAGCAGTTATAGGTCTATCTAATTTGCTTATCTGGTCTTAATTTAATTTTGGTAAGTGATATTTATCCAGAAAGTTATCCATTTCCTTTAAGTTTTCCATTTTTTTGGAGTACAGGTTTTCAAAATATGACCTGATGATTCTCTGTATTTCCTCCGTGTCTGTTGTTATGTCCCCCATTTTCATTTCTGATTTTGTTAATTTGGATATTCTCTATCTGCCATTTGGTTATTTTGAATAAAGGTTTGTTCATTTTGTTGATTTTTCTGGAAGAACCAACTCCTTTTCTCATTGATTTTTTTTTTATTGTTTTCTTTGTTTCTATTTTGTTGATTTTAGCTCTCAAATTGATTATTTCCTGCCATCTAGTTCTCTTGGTTAGTTTGCTTTTCTTGTTCTAAAGTTTTCAAATGTTCTATTAATTCACTTTTGTGGGATTTTTCCAGCTTTTTTCTGTAGGCTTTCTTGTTTGCTTGTTTCTTTGTTTTGGTGTTTAGTTTTTTACTTCTAGGAATGTTCTAGAATTTCTGTATGATATTTAGCTGGTAATGGTATTTTCCTAATCTTTCCACAGTCTCTCTTTTAAAATGGTAGTAGTCTCCTATCTGTGGGAGGCATTTAGTTTTCCAATGTCTCATTAGTCACTACATGGTCTTAAATACTTTGCTCCAGGGATTCTCTTTAAAAATTCTCCCCTTTGCCTACTCTGAAGTATTTGTTTAATCTGTCTTTATAAGAGAACACTGTAACAACCAATCTAACTTCCCTTGGATTTTCCGCATAATAAGGTGTTGTATTTTAAGTTAATGCACAGGTGAAACCTTAAATTATTTTCTTCCACAATAAATGCTAATATAGTATAGAGATTAAATCTTGGTAAACAATGGTGTTTGTAGCACTGTCTGTTATTGGTATCAGGTGGGGTCAAGTAGAGTCAATGACTAATCTTGTGAAATCATTTTAAAGATTTCTGCACAGTATCCCTCAGCCCTTCCTCTTGTGATGCTCCTTGTGCTGTTCAATGAGAGAAAGAGAATAAAGCCCTTGCTAGGGGCAGGTACATACTGAGGCACAACAACAAAGTGTTAAGACAGCCTACAGGAAGGCACAGATTCAGACTCACACATAGGACAGGATAAAAATGGATGACACCTGATGAGTGAATCAGACCGTTTAAATCTGGAGATGCTCCTGGTCAGATGAAACAAAGGGAAAGGGATTTACTGATTTCTCTCCATAGTGCACGGATGCATTATAGGTGACAGTGAGTATATTAATAATGTGTTTAAAGTTATGTATTTTGTTGTCCTGTGTGAGGAATGCTAAAGGAACTAATAAATATTTGTAGTAGAGTAATCATATCTTTGTAGAAGAGTGGTTGAAAAGAAAGTGTAAGCCAGAAATTGGGGGTGAATTTTATGAAATCTTCTTATGGATATTGCACACACACACAAACACACACACAGACACATGGATATATTGTGAAAATGTGTATACTTGCAATTATGAAAATTAAACAAAAGAAACTACTGATAACAGTTAACCTCTTACATGATACTGCCCTGAATTGATCACTAGCGAACAAGTACAATTAAAAAATCACTTGTATCTTTCAAGCTTGTACAGATATGTGTAAACCACCTGAAAACACATTAGAAATTCATTCTTAGGTTCTTGGGCTTCTTCTTTACCCCCATCCCTACAACTTTCATGCAGAGGATGCATGTTTCAGTAAAAAGATGGTTCCTAAAGGTAGAATCATCACGTGAATTATGGTAAGCACAGTATCTACTTTTTATTCTCATCAGTATATATGACTCCATTAGAATGTGTCATAACATCCTGTGATAATATGCTATATGCTTAATAAACAATGTCTAGTGCTGATGTATTTTCAACTCTAATGCTTCCATTAAAAGAATCCAAAAGTAGTTATAGTTCCTCAGAATTTCAGTCATGAATAACTGCACATTGACCTGAAATTGCTTTCAGTTGTGCTTCATTCCATTCCACAGCTTCCATTCATTAATCTAAGTAGCAACCCCATCTCTGTGAACCTGTCCAGTGAAAACAAGTGAAGTTCATGATTAACTTTATAGGATTCTGATGTACATTTGAGTTCAGCTTTCCTTACCACATTTTTGCTTTGCCTTGGCTGAGCACAACATGGCAGGACAGCCTAAGGTCCGACTATCTAACTTCACTGCTGAGCAGACCACTTGAACTCAGCAAGGGAGAAACTCATTTTAATCTCTCTTGTTTTCATGAGTATCTGTGGAACCAAGCCAGGAGTGAATACGCTCTTGATTTCTGTGTTTCTGCAGATGGTGAGTGTGCCTGTAGCAGGTGAATGGTGTCTGTTGATTATTTTAAGGCAAATTCCTCAAGAAAGAATCCAGGAGCCACAAGGCCACATCGTTTTCCCTAAAACAGAAGAGAGGGCTGATTCTACAGTAAGTATGTCTCTGCTCGGAGACTATGCTCAATTCTTCTGCAAAGAATGTTTATGTTGTACATCTTCTCTGTTTCTCATAGTCCAGCCTACAGTTTATTTTGACTGACATTTGCTTGTATTTCTTATGAGAGTTATGATTGAGTCTTTAAATTTATATTGTTTACCCAGTGTGGATGTACCTCCATTTTGTTCTTGCCCGCTTATTTTTCAGGACATATATCCTCAGTGAATTGATGATGTTTATCACTATGAATTCCATAGTGACAGGTGACTATTATATCTTACTGATGAGCATTTTTCCATAGACTCTCTCATATCCTCAGATAAAGATAGTAAATGCAAATGTATGGCATGGCTTACGTCTTATGGCTCTGTTTGTTACTGACTTAGAAAATGCATATTAAACCACCTGGAATGCATTGTTTAGCATAACTCTTTCAGTTATGAGATTGTAGAATTAGAAACGTCATATTCTCCTGAAAAACAAAACTACATATATAGCATTCCCTTGAGAATCTAGAATGTGGATGATACATGTAGCTTATACTTAGTATAAAACTGGTACTGATGTATTCACTCTACACTTTCCGTGCTTTCTTTCGTGGGCAATCACTGTCACTACAATAATGATGTGACTCTGTGTGCAAAGCTGCCATCAGTTCATCTTAATGTATTGATGTTGACTTCATTCACCTGTACTTGGCTCTCTGCTACACCATCTATCACTTCAGAGATCATTAGTTTAGCTTTTGTGTTTCTGGTGTTGTATATAGTGTTTCATTCTGTAGCCAGAGTGCATTGGATTCACGTTATCAGCAGTAATTATTTTGGAGCATTGCCAATTGATGAACATAAATATCAAATTTTATGCAGAAACTGAACCTGTCCCTAAATATTTTGATTTGTTCCCTTGCATTGGAGGCTCCCTTGCATGGGATCTCCCCACATTTCCCCCCATGAACACAATTGTTTTCATGTCTAGATTTCAGAAAAATAGGTATGTATTTATAGGTTTGTTATTTTTAATTTTCCTTCTATTGAAAATAGATATTTTTCCTCACATAATTTCATGATTATGGTTTTCTCTCCCTCTACGACCCCAATTAATCCCCATACCTTTTTCCATCCAGATCATCCCCTTTCTGTCTCTCAATAGAAAACAAACTAAGGTAGAATAATGACACAAAATATAATATGATAATATAATATAATATGATGTAGTAAGATAAAACAGAACTAACACAGAATAATAGGAAAAAACAATCACATGAAAAGTAGCTCCAAAAGAGGCACAAGAAACAAATATAGATGCAGAGACCCATGACTTTTCTTTTTTTTTTGTTTTTTTTTTTGTTTTGTTTTGTTTTGTTTTTCGAGACAGGGTTTCTCTGTGGTTTTGGAGCCTGTCCTGGAACTATCTCTTGTTGACCAGGCTGGTCTCGAACTCACAGAGATCCGCCTGCCTCTGCCTCCCCTCTGCCTCCCGAGTGCTGGGATTAAAGGCGTGTGCCACCACCGCCCGGCTTTTCAAGGTCATGGATTCCCTAAAACACTAAAGTGAAACTGTAGTATCATTTAGGGTAAAAAGTGATAAGAAAATATATAAATAAAATAAACTATAAGGGAAAGAAAAGTTGATAGGTTCTTAGATGACATTATGACACAAGGAACTTCCAAGATGCTGTTGAGTCTATGAGGCTCAGCATGCAACCTACCTTTGAGAGTAGTTTCTTATCCCAGTGACAATTTCTTGAAGCAAACCAAATTTTCATTTGCAAGGGGTTATCAGTCAGAGATTGCTTCTGGGTTAGGGATCTGGGCATGTGTCCACCTCATACTTCAGTTCCAGTACTAAATTTGGTGCAGAACTGTGCATGACCTGTATATGCTGCCTCAGTTTCTGCTCGTTAATATGGGCTTCAATCCAGTAGAGGTGGAGGGCTGTGTATGTTTGTGTGGGGGAGGGGCATGTGGGTATCTTCCTCCTTTTACAGGTGGTCCTGTTATCCCTGAGGGAAGGTATTTGAAAGAGACCTCCCATTTAGCAGCGTTTCAAGGTGTCTCAATCTCTGTATATATTTTGGCTGTGAGCCTCTCTATGTTTTCTCTCCAACTATTACATGAGGAATATCCTCTTTTTGGTTGAGCAAGGCTTTGGATCTATTAGTACATCCTATATAGTAGAATGTCATTTGGAGCAATTTTATTTTTATTTTTTAGAACCGTAATGTTGGGTTTTATTTATGTCAGGTCTTTGGGCTATCTAGTTTCTGGGTTTGGTCACCGGAGCAGTGTGAGGTATGGGTTTCATCTCGTGGAGTTAGCCTTAAGTCAAATCACGTTTTGAATTATTACTCCCACAAGATTTGTGCCACAATTATACTATCATATCTTAAGGGCAGGACACCAATGTAGATCAAATGGTTTATATTTGGACTTGATGCTTATGTTTGCTCTCAGTTGTTTGTAGACTGCCTTGCTGTACCAAAGACTCAGGTAGTGATAAAGACGCTATATAGACACCAGCTCCACTTCTCTGTAATCAGTGAGTTTTTTTTTTTTAAATGGAACACTGATTTTGATTTGATCAGTAAAACCAGATAACACAAGGCATTAGCATTTTCAAACACTGCAATTTTTACTTTATTTTAACTAAATGTGTCTGGTGGAATCTTGCTGTATTCCATAAAACAGAATGACGATATTTTCCCCAGCCAGACAAGCGGACACCTACCTGAAATCAATCTTTTAGCATGGTAAATAGATTCTAAATTTTAAAGGCAATGTGTATACTAAAGCAACTCATAGTCAAGTCTAACAGTTATTTAAAAGCCTGTCGGGGTTTTGATAAGAGTAGAGAGGCAAGAATTTCTTACACAGCATGCCAGATCAGCACAGTTTCCAATCTGACATTATAGGCATTTGAGTAATGTGTCATCAAAATCACACAGTATTTATGGTTGACATGCTCAAGAAATTAAAAGCACTCAATCTTATGCAAGGCATAGATGTGAATGTCTGAAAGAGAAGAGCTGAAGGTCATTCAGTTGTGATGAATATCCATCTTCCATAGATGTTTTGATTCTTTTCCAAGTAAGCCAAACCTTCTGTTTAGTTGCAGGCTTCTGGAAACTTTCTCATATCCATATCCCATAGAGTGAGCTAATACTCAGGCCATTCCAATAATCTAGCTAAATTAATTGATCCCCCCCCCCCAAAAAAAACCTGTGTTCCCACTGCCTGTATCTTTTCACATGTTTCTCTAGTCATTTATTTATTTAGAGAATGTGTATGCATGCATTAATGTGTGCCTGTGTGGATTTTTGTCATGGTGCATGTGTGGAGGTCAAAGGTTAACATGAGAATGTCAGTTCTCACCAGCATGTGGGGTCTGCAGTATGAATTTAGGTCCACAGGCTTGGTGGCAAGGGCCCTTACCCACTGAACCACACCAAAGGCCTATTTCCTTAAAATCGTTTTCCATAGCTGTATCTCAAATGACTGTTCGTTCTTCTTAAGTATAATCCATACATTCAGATGTACACACACCCATACATTCCTTATGTCTGAAATAAAAGCTTTAAACAGTATAAGAGAAATACTTAACAAATACAAGTTGTTTTATTTTTAAATGGTAACAATATGTGGCGAACCCCTATTTAGTCTTTAACTATGCAATTTACTTTTTTGGGCTAAGTGTAGTGACACATGACTATATTCTCAGGATTTCAAGGCCAGACTAAACTACTTTTGTGAAGTTTGAAAACAGACTGAACTGTGTGACTCAAAAAAGTATAATAATATTTGTATGATATATATTTTTCTGCTTAAAATGAATTTTTAAAATTTATCTAAAAAAATCTTTTCTCATTTAACATGCCAAATCCATTTTCCACTCCCTCCCTCCTGCTGCTCCCTCTACCTTCCCCACTCCTGTCTCCCCATCTCGCCCCTCATCCACTCCTCACAGAGGATAAGGCATTTTCCCATGGGGAGTCAACAAAAACTAGCACATTGCTTTGAGGCAGGACCAAGGCCTTCCCCAATATATCTAGGTTGAGCAAGGTATCCATCTGGCTTGGTTCCAAAAAGCCAGAAAGAACAAGCACAAGGAATAAATCCTTGTCTTCCTGCCAGTGGCCCCACAGTCTGCCCCAGCCATACAACTGTCACCCACATTCAGAGGGCATAGCTCAGTCCTATGCTGGTTCCTTTGCTGTCAGGCCAGAGTTGGAAGGCTTCCATTATCTCTGGTAAGCTGTTTTGTGGGTAACCCCATCATAGCCTTGACCTCTTAGCTTATATTCTCACTCTTCCCTCTCTTCAGCTGGACTTTGGGAAGTCAGCCCAATGCTCTGGGTTGTGGACTATAGGCTCCTAATACTTTCCTATATAGCTAATATTCATCTGTGAGTGGGTACATGCCATGCTGATTTTTCTAGGTCTGTGTTAACTCACTATTAATTTTCTAGTTCCAGCCATTAAAATGCAAATTTCAAGATGTCATTGTTTTTTTATGGCTGAGTAGTATTTCAATATGTAAATGTACCACATTTTCTTTATCCATATTTCAGTTGAGGAACATGTAGGTTATTTCCAGGTTTTGCCTATTACGAATAATGCTGCTATGAACATAGTTTAACAAATGTCCTTGTAGTATGGTTGAGCATTATTTGGGTATATGCCCAAGAGTGGTGTTGCTGGGTCTTGTAGGTTGATTGCCAGTTTTCTGAGAAACCACCATACTAATTTCCAGAGTGGTTGTACAAGGTTACATTCCCACCTGAAATGGACAAGTGTTTCCCTTACTCTGCATCCTCTCCAGCATAAGCAATTATTGGTGTTTTCGATCTTAGCCATTCTGACCAGTGTAAGATGGTTTTGATTTGTGTTTCCCTGATGGCTAAGGATATTGAAATTTTCCTCAAGTGTCTTTCAGCCATTTGAGATTCTTCTGTTGAGAATTCTCTGTTTAGTTCAGTACCCCATTTTTTAATTGGGTTATTTAGAATTTTACTGTTTAATTTCTTGAGTTCTTTATATATTTTGGAGATCAGTACTCCGTCTGATGTTGGGTTGATGAAGATCTTTCCCCATTCAGTAGGGTGGCTCTTTGTCTTATTGACTCCCTCCTTTGCTTTTACAGAAGTGTCTCAGTTTCAGGAGGTCCCATTTATTTAATTATTTATTATTTCAGTGTCTGTGCTAGTAATGTTATATTTATATTTAGGAAGTGATCTGGTGTACCCGTGCATTGAAGTTTAATGCCCACTTTTTATTCTGTCAGGTTCAGTGTGGTTGGATTTATATTGAGGTCTTTAATCCATTTGGGCTTGAGTTTTGTGCATGGTGGTAGGTATGAATCTATTTGCATTCTTGTACATGCTGACATCTAATTATGCCAGGACCATTTGTTGAAGATGCTTTCTTTTTTTCCATTGTATAATTTTAAGTTCTTTGTTAAAATTAGGTGATCATAGCTGTGTGGATTCATGTCTGGGTCTTTGATTTGATTCCATTGGGCAACCTGTCTCTTTTTATGCCAATACCAAGCTGTTTTCAGTACTGTAGCTCTAAAATAGAGCTTAATGTCAGGGGTGGTGATGCCTCCAGAGGTTCCTTCATTATACATGATTGTTTTGGCTATCTGGAACTTTTAGTTTTTCCATATGAACTTTGAGTATTGTTCTTTTGAGGTCTGTGAAGAATTGTGTTGGGATTTTGATGGGGATTGCAGTGAATCTGTAGATGGCTTTTTAGGATTGCCATTTTATTACATTGATCCTTCCTATCCAAGAGCATGGAAAAGTTCTTCATTCTCTGGTATCTTCAATTTCTTTCTTCAAAGACTTAATATTCTTTTTTAAGAGGTCTTGCTTAAAAAAATCAACAAGATTGTCCAGACTAACTAAAATACAGAGAGAATATCCAAATAAAAAAAATAAGAAATGAAAAGTGGGACATTATTAAATGATAATGATTAGCTCAAAACTTGTACTCCACAAAATAAGAAATTTTAAAATTAATGGATCTTTTTCAATGATACTCCTAACCAATATTCAATCAGGATCATATTAACAACTTAAGTAGACTTATAAACACTAAAGAAATAAAACCAGTCATTAAAAACATCCCCCACCTCCAAAAATTTCCAGGATCAGATGATTTTAGGACAGACGTCTCTGAGATATTCAAAGAAGACCATATGCTCTTCAAATTTTTCCACAAACTGAAATTAAAGTAAAAATACTAAATTCATTTTATAAGAGCACATTAACTCTGATTTTCAAACCATACAAAGATTCAACAAAGAAGAGAACTACAGACAAATTTTGCTAATGAAAATGATGCTAAAATACTCAACAGAGTACTTATAAACTGAATCCAAGAACAAAGCAAAGACATTGACCATGATCAAGTAGGCTTTATCCCAGAGATGTACGGATGTTGAACATATGAAAATCAATAATATAATTCACTAGAAAACCAAGTTAAAATGCATTATCTTCTAATTAGATGCTGAAAATACCATTGGGGTTTTCTATTGTGATTTGATCATTTCAATGTTCTGTGTGCTTCTTGTAGCTGTATGGATGAGTATTTTTATAGTTTTTGGGAAATTTTCTTCCATATCTTGCAGATGTGGTATATGTCATTTACCATTTATGTGATTTTCGCCCTCACCTATGGTTGTAACGTAAAGCTTTGGATTTTTCATGTTATCTATCATTTCCTGTGTAGTATTTTCCTGTTTTTTAAGAGTAATCATAATTCTTTATTATTTCTTCTACGTGTCATCTCTTTTCCTTTAGGTCCCTGATACTTTTGATGTCTTTCCTTTGAATTTTCTAATTGGTACAATGACTGTTTCTTTTCTTTATTCATTTATTTTATGTATCTGATTATCCGTATGCACAGCTTTATGCAAGAAGAAGGGATCAGTTCTTACTATAGATGATTGTGAGCCACCATGTGGTTCCTGGGAATTAAATTCAGGACCTCTTGAAGAGCAGCAGTGCTCTTTACCTCAGAGACACTTCTCTAGATCCTAATGAGTATTTTTATTCCAAATTAATTTCAGTTGACTCCTGTTCAGTGTTTGTATATTATTATTGAAACAAATTCTCAGATCTATATTTTTGGGTTTTTTTGTAAATTTCTTGAACTTTTTTTGTGTTTTCTTTTTCATCGTGAGGAAAACTTAATTTCATCTATTGAATTTCATTTTCTACTCATTTCATTGAGCTATTTCTTTCTCTTTATTGTCAGTTTTCTCTTGGAAATCTTTCATGAACGTTTGATTGTTCATTTAAATTCTCTTTCCTATGTTTCATCAAAGTCATTCTCGTTGACAAACATTTCTATTTTATTAGTATGTTTTGGAGAGGAGATACTGACTTGTTCCTTTCACAGTGTTTGTATTTTTGCAATGAGATATGGGCATGTGACTTTGGTATTATTGTGCCTGATATGGATAGAGCAGTTTGGTGCAGAGGGGAGGATATGTGGACATGTAAATTCTAGAGAATGGAAATGACTTATTAGAGTGAAGTCAGGTATACTAAAGGTACTTTAGTGATGTGTAGGATATGGTTCCTTGTCCTATTTGGTTTTTAGAAGGATAGCTGACTGGGTAGAGAATTTGGCATTTTAGTGTGAGATGTCTGTGAGTTTCAGATTTAGGTAGGGTGCATCCTGGAGTAATTCTGTGTCTCTTCCCAGCTTGCCACACACAGGTGTCATCTCTTTCATGGTCTTTCCCACTGTTGTCATTGAAATAATTTGCAGTAAGAATTTCTGCTTCATTCTTGGATATGGCATTTCTGTCCCTTGCTCCACATCTTACTTTTGATATATTTTCATTTCACAACGGTGCATGCACATATGGTTGCAACTTTACAGCTCATGGATCTTTTACCTGTGGTTCCTAAAGAAACAATTTGCCATGAGAAATAGATGCCCTTAAATGGTGAAGTCTGGACTTCACATGAAGATAGTCTGGCTCCCATTCACATACCCCTTTTCTGCCTGTACATCTACACCTTAAGTTTATCCTTCTTGATTTAATATTTTCAGCACACAGATTTTCAGTGTAGACTATATTTTGGAGTATGTCTTTTAGAATAATGCTAATCAAGAACACTTCAAGTTTTGTGATAAATTCTTGTATTCATAGTCTAAGTAAAGAAATGTGTTCGTGGGCACTTGATAAACTCTTTTTTTTCATGACAGGGAATCTTGACATTCCAGGATGTGGCAATTGATTTCTCTCCAGATGAGTGGGACTGCCTCGACTTTGCACAAAGGGCTTTGTACAGGGAAGTCATGTTGGAGAACTACAGTAACATGGTCTCTGTGGGTGAGACTTTTTTCTTTCATGATTTCTTCTTTATCGTAATTGTTTCTTACAAGTGTGTTTTACATCTATGTCTGAATTGTCGGCCTCACTTTCACATGCCAATTTAATAAAAATCTTAGAGTTCATCATTTAGAACACAATGATTTGTGTAAATTTATCTTGTCAATATACTCCTGACTCCTGGAGATGGCATTCATCATTCAAACATTTATAATACATTTTACTTTTCAGACACACCATAGATTATATATTGGTTTGTAACGTAATGATTTATTACATATTTGCATTTAGATTCAATAGTAATTTACAAACAAACCCAAAGTACAGAATACTAAAAAAAAATGCTTTTGGGTGTTTTAAAATATTGGGAGATAGCAATTAGGTAATTATATTTGGAATTTTATGTTATATGCCATCTTATATAGTTAGTATGGTGGTTTATTAGAAATCCGTGTTTTTACTATTATCCCAAGTTATACCCATATATCTCTTCCAATATTCAGGTATTTCAGTGTCAAAACCAGATCTGATCAGCTCCCTTGAACAAGGCAAAGAGCCCTGGAATGTGAACACAGGAGAGAAAGAAGGCAATGAAAAAGGTAAGCCACAGGAAGTATTAGCACATGTGGGAAACATAGGACATGGAGGAATTCTCTCCTGAAGTGGGGTTTGCAAAGATCTTTACCTGAAATGGTATAAAAATTCACATTGAATAATTATTCTAAATTTTTTTAAGTCTCATTCACATAAATTGACCTAAAAATTCACATTGAATAGTTAACTTTAATTATGATATAAAGCAGAAGATAATTTATTGCCATATCCTTGAATGCTACCACATCCTGAAATGAACAATATTGAAATGAAAATTAGCATTAAAAAACTTTTCACAGTGTTTCAAGGAATATTTCTCTGTACACGTTCATGTCTGTTTGTTTGCACTTATTATGTGGTTTTCACAGTTTGTTAGAATCACATAAAATCAGAAAATATAAATTTTATAGTTGGACTCATTTTGGAAGATTGTTGAATTCGTTCTTTGCATTAAAATCTACAGAATTTCAAAGATAACTTTTTCTATTTCTGCAAAATATTCATTAGAAACTAGGAGTTGTTTATTCACACATGTTATTGGTCTATTTTAATATCTGAAAATCTCTGAATATCAAAATTTATGTTGCTTTTCACATAAAGGTTGTGTTTTCTTATGTGTTTTTATATCTGTCTAAATTTGAGTTTGCTTGGAGAAGCAAATTTGTATATACTTTTATTTTTCATATATACTTTTATTATTTTGAATGCCTCATAATGACTTTCGATCATATTCAATTCCCCAACTCTTCCCATGTTCTGCTTCCTCACATATCTTTGATTTTTTTCCCATCTTTATTTATACTCAGAGTTCAATCTGTAATTCCCATACAATCCGGGTGTTGAGAATGGCCTGCATATGGTTGAAGTATCAGGAGTTACACATTTTAAAAATACACTTAATGCTCTTTCTCCAATCATCTTTAAGATGATAGGAACTTCTCAGCAAGGCTTGGTACTCCAGTTCCCATCAGCTTTTCTTCCTAGAATATTAATCTGGCTTGAGCTTGCTCAGGTCTGATGAATGCTATCCTAATCACCTGAGTTCTTATGGGCAACTGTCATGGTGTGTATAAAAAGTACTATTTTCTTATAGTCATTCATGACTTCCTGGCTTACTATGTATTATCACTCTGTCCAGAAAGAGCTCTGAACAGTCCATAGAATGGGTTTGATATAAGAAGCATACTAGTTAAAACTGAATATTTTCTTACTGTTTGTACCATGTCCACCTGTGAGTCCCGTTTTAGTTGGCAAGTCACACCAGAAGCAATGGGAATGAATGCCTGTATTTCATTATGAACATATATACAAAAGTCGTCAATAAAATATTTGCATCATGAATCCAATAGTATATCAAAAAGGTGATCTACATAGGCTTCATCTCAAGACGTGTAGAGCTAGATCAACAATTCAAAACCAATAAATGTAATCTACCACTTATACAAACTGAAGGTCAAATTCCAGATGTTTATCTCATTAGATGCAGAAAAGCCTTTGACAAAATTAACACCCCATTTTTGATAAAAGTCCTGGAGAGATTAGGGATGCAAGGGACATACCTCCAAATGAAAGACACAATTTATAGCAAGCCTATATCCCACACCAAACTAAATCGAGAGATATTCAAACCTTTCCACTAAAATAGGGAACCATTTAAATGGGACTCACTTTCTCCATATGTATTCAATACAGCACTTGGAATCTTAGCTAGAACAGTAACATGGATGAAGATCAAAAAGTGATGAATAATAAAGGAAGAGATCAAAGTAACTTTATATGCAGATGCTATGAATTTAGGTTTACAGACTCTAAAGAACTCCACCAAGAATCTCCTACAAGTGAGATAAACTTTAATCAAATTTAAGGGGTGCAAAATTAGCTAACAAAAGCAGTAGTGCTCCTCTATAGAAATGAGAAAAGATTTAAATGGAAATAAGGGAAACAATATCTTTTACAATAGCCTCAGAAAATAGTTTGAGGGAATTTGAACTAAGAAAGTTAAAGATCCTTATAGAAATGTATCAGAAGATAGAAAAAAATTTCTGTGCTCAAGGATTGGTCAGTTAATGTAGTAAAAATGAACATCTTATTGAAAGTAATATATTGATTCAGTGAAAATCTCATCATTAAATTCTAACACAATTCTTGAAGATCGCAGAAAGACAAGTCTTCAGCAACATATGGATACAAACAAACAAAAACTCAAAATAGTTTAAATAATCATGAAAAATATTTTTTTTTTTTTTTGGTTTTTTCGAGACAGGGTTTCTCTGTGGCTTTGGAGCCTGTCCTGGAACTAGCTCTGTAGACCAGGCTGGTCTCAAACTCACAGAGATCCACCTGCCTCTGCCTCCCGAGTGCTGGGATTAAAGGCGTGCGCCACCACCGCCCGGCCGAAAAATAAATTATATATGTATGGTATTATCATCCACAATTTTATTTATTTTATTTTATTATTTTATAAATAATACCAGTCAAATTTTCCAATTTCTCCCTTCCTCCCACTTCCCTCCCTTTCTCCCACACACCCTTCCCCCCCATTCCCCTTCAGTCCTAAGAGAGGGCAAGGTACCCTGCCCTGTGGGCTCCCCTGTCCATCCAGGCTTAGGAAGGTGTGCATCCAAATAGACTAGGATACCAAAAAGCTAATACATGCAGTAGAGACAAATCCCAGTGCCATTATCATTGGCCCCTCATTCTGCACCAATTGTCAGCCACATTCAGAGGGTCCAGTTTGATCCCATGCTCCTTCAGTCCAAGTCCATCTAGATTTGGTGAGCTCCCATTAACTCAGGCACACTGTCTCAGTGGGTGGACCAACCCCTTGCTGTCCTGACTTGCTCGCTCATTTTCTCCCTCCTTCTGCTCTTCAACTGGACCTTGGGAACTCAGACCAGTGCTCCAGTGTGGGTCTCTGCCTCTATCTCCATCCATCGTTCGATGGAGATATTCAAGATAGCCATCAGTCTGACTACAGGCAAGGCCAGTTCAGGTACCTTCTCCTCCACTGCCCGGGGTCCTAGCTGGGGACATTCCCGTGGACACCTGAAACCCCTCTAGAGCCAAGCCTCTTGCCAACCCCAAAATGGCTTCCTTAATTAAGATATCTTCTTCCCTGCTCTCCCATATCCCATCCTTGCTCCATCTCAAAAATCCCACTCCCCCAAGTTCTCCCCAACCCTCCCCTTCTCCCTTCTCTCCCCCACTCTCCCCTTTCCCCTAACCAACCTACACCCCAATGCTCCAAACTTTTGCCTGGCAATCTTGTCTGCTTCCAATTTCCAGGAGGATCTATATATGTTTTTCTTTGGGTTCATCTTATTACTTACCTTCTCTAGGATCATGATCTATAGGCTCAATGTCCTTTGTTTTTGGCTGGAATCCACTAATAAGTGAGTACATACCATGTTCATATTATTGGGTCTGGGTTATCTCACTTGGGATAGTCTTTTCTATATTTTCTATATTCAGTGTTGTCAGATTTATATTGAGGTCTTTAATCCATTTGGACTTGAGTTTTGTGCATGGTGTATTTACATTCTTCTACATAACTGGTTGATGTCCAGTTATGCCATCACCATTTGTTGAAGATGCTTTACTTTTTCCATTGTATAATTTTAGCTTCTTTGTCAAAGATCAGGTGTTCATAGGTTTGTGGATTAATATCCGGGTCTTCAATTCGATTTCTTTGGTCAACGTCTTGGTTTTTATGCCAGTACCAAGCTGTTTTCATTACTGTAGCTCTGTAATACAGTTTAATGTCAGGGATGATAATGCCTCCAGAAGTTCCTTTATAGTATTGGATTGTTTGAGCAATACTGGTTTTTTGTTTTGTTTTGTTTTGTTTTCCATATAAAGTGGATTATTGTTCTCTCAAGGTCTGTGAAGAATTTTGTTGGGATTTTGATGGGGATTGCATTGAAGCTATGGATTGCCTTTGGTAGCATTGCCAGTTTTACTATGTTGATCCTACCAATCCAAGAGCATGGGTGATCCTTCCATTTTCTGGTATCCTTTTCAATTTCTTTCTTCAAAGACTTAAAGTTCTTGTCAAATAGATCTTTCACTTCCTTGGTTAGTGTTGTCCTAAGATACATTATGCTATTTGTGGCTATCGTGAAAGGTGATGTTTCTCTGATTTCCTTCTCAGCTTCTTTATCCTTCATGTATAGGAGGGCTACTGATTTTTTTGGAGTTGATTTTGTATCCTGCCACACCACTGAAGGTATTTATCAGCTGTAAGAGTTCTTTGGTAGAGTTTTTGGGGTCACTTATGAACACTATTTTAGCATCTGCAAATAACGAAAGTTTGACTTCTTCCTTTCCAATTCGAATCCCCTTGATCTCCTTATGTTGTCTTATTGCTATTGCTAGAACTTCAAGCACTATGTTGGAGAGATATGGAGAGAGTGAACAGCATTGTCTTCTTCCTGATTTTAGTTTGAGTTTCTTTCCATTTAATTTGATGTTAGCTGTCAGTTTGCTGTATATTGCTTTTATTATATTTAGATATGATCCTTGTATCCCTATTCTATCCAAGACCTTTATCAAAAAGGGGTGTAATTTTGTCAAATTTTTTTTGGCATTTAATGAAATGATCATATGGTTTTTTCTTTCACTTTATTTATATAATGGATTACTTTGATAGATTTCATATGTTGATCCAGCCCTGAATCTCTGGAATGAAGCCTACTTAATCATAATAGATGATTTTTTTTTGATGTGTTCTTGGATTCAGTTTGCCAGAATTTTATTGAGAATTTTTACATTGATGTTCATGAGTGAGATTGGTCTGTAATTCTCTTTCTTGGTTGAGTCTTTGTGTGGTTTTGGTATCAGGGTAATTGTAGCTTCATAAAGAGTGCTTGGCAGTGACTCTTCAGTTTCTATTATGTGGAACACATTAAGGAGTATAGGTATTAGCTCTTCTTGGAAGTTCTTGTAGAATTCTGCATTAAAACCATCTGGCCCTGGGCTTTTTTTGGTTGGGAGGTATTTGATGACAGCTTCTATTTCCTCACGACTTATGGGTCTATTTAAATTGTTCACCTGGTCTTGATGTAATTTTGGTATATGGTATTTATCTAAAAAATGTCCATTTCTTTTACATTTTCCAATTTTGTGGATTACAGGCTTTTGTAGTAAGACCTAATGAGTCTCTGAATTTCCTCAGTGTCTCTTGTTTTGTCCCCTTTTTCATTTCTGATCTTGTTAATTTGTGTGTTCTCTCTCTGCCTTTTGATTAGTTTGGATTGGGGTTTGTCAATCTTGTTGATTTTCTCAAAGAACCAGCTTTTTGTTTCATTGATTCTTTGGATTGTTTTCTGTGTTTCTATTTTGTTGATTTCAGCCCTCAGTTTGCTTATTTCCAGTCTTCTACTCCTGGGTGAGTCTGCTTCTTTTTTTTCTAGAGCTTTTAGGTGTGCTGTTAAGTCTCTAATGTGAGCTTTCTCCGTTTTCTCTATGTGGGCACTTAGTGCTATGAACTTTCCTCTTAGCACTGCTTTCATAGTGTCTCATAGGTTTGGGTATGTTGTGTCCTCATTTTTCTTGAATTCAAGGAAGACTTCAATTTCTTTCTTTATTTCTTCCTTGATTCACGGGTGGTTCAGTAGTTGACTGTTAAGTTTCCATGAGTTTGTAGGCTTTCCAGGGGGTGGTATTGTTGTTAAATTTTGTCTTTACTCCATGGTGATCCGATAAGACACAGGTGGTTCTCCAATTTTTTTTGTATCTGTGGGTGTTTGCTTTGTTATGGAGTATGTGATCAATTTTCGTGAAGGTTCCATGAGTTGCTGAGAAGGTATATTCTTTCCTGTTTGGGCGGAATGTTCTATAGATGTCTGATAAATCCATTTGATTCTTTACATCTGTTAATTCTCTTATTTCTCTGTTAGGTTTCTGTCTGACCTGTCCATTGGTGAGAGAGGAGTGTTGAACTCTCCTACTATTAGTGTGTGGGGTATTATGTGTGAATTCAGTTCCCTGGGACTCTCTCAGAGAGTTGCACTTCAGGTGCTCTGGCTGTGTGGCTACTTGCTCTCCTCTCCAGTTCCCCTCTTGCAGGGTTTCAGGGTTGTAGACTAAAAGGTGGGCTGGGGGGAAGGGACAGGAAACAACCCCTCCCCCTTCCTCCGTTGGCTCTCTGGTCCCCTCAGCCCTGAAGCAGGCCATGTTGGGGTTTCCAAGGATCTTGCAGATGAAAAAAAAAAGCTCATCCACAATTTTTTTCTGCAGTTATATAATCAGCATTTGTATTATAATTGTATGGTTGAAAACTGATATTGATTATTAAAATCAAATTGTAGATACTAACATAAGTTCACTCATCTATGAAAACTTATTTTGTAAAGGAATCTAGAAAAATACATTTAACAAAAAGATGGCTTTTAATTCTAATCTTACCTAAGCTATTTCCAGTAGACCACAAGTCCCCAAGAAAATTTAGTTTCTTGAAGAGAGCATGAACTGGGATAAGAGTCACTGTTACAGGAAGGCCCCATACCCAGCACTTGATGGATAACAAAAACACCACTCAATGAAATATTTGTACATTCTTTTTCCCCATAATGTTTAGTTTGGGAATTTATTTGTTTTTATTTTTTGACCTTATGGTATCTTTTTGTATATTATAACTTCTAGAGTTTTGCCTTGTTTTGTTTTATGCAGTTTTTGTATGGACAACTATGTGTCTTTCTCTATACATGTTTACTGTGCTTTTTCTTTGTCTCCTTGTCTTCTCTTATCCTGTCTGATTTCGTTGACTCTGATTACATTATTTTATTCTCATTCTTTAGATGCCTATATTTTTTCTACAACGTGACAGAAAGTGGGTAAATTCAGACATTAGTTAATATGGGGATGATCTCAGGGCTTTTGAGGGATTAAAAGTCATAATCAGAATATATTTTATTAAAATGTATCTCTGATAAGATCAGTCCTAGTGAATTTCCTTGAAAATATATGGACCCCTTCTTTGTGGCATACTTGATTCCCTGTGGACCTATTAGTAATAACTGTTTCCTGTTCTTTATTTCCTTCTTTCTTTACTAATAAATATTCTGCATTCTTTACTAATATTATTCAATTTGTTCATTCGAAAAGATTGTGGAGATGAGTTATATCCAGTATGGATATATGAGTGTTTTTTGTAGTTGGGTTATAGGCTTTGTACATAGTTACTTTTCAATTTCTGTGATAAAACTCCAAGATAAAGGCAAAATACAGAAGAAAGATCTATTATAATGAATCAGAGGTAGCAGCTGACAAGGGACTAGAGCAGCAGTGAGAGGTCCTATCTAGAACCACAGCAGGAAGCAGAGAGGTCACTTTTGGCAATTGAAGGCATTAAAATTCTCAAAGCCAGTCCAGGGACATATATGTTCCATTAAGTTGATACCTCTTTATCCTAACAACAAGTATCCACCAACTCAGACCATGTATTCAGATATCTGATTATATGGGGTCATTTCACTCAACCTATTTTAGTCTTAATTCTCAAAATTATGACTGGAATCTCTAAGGTAACGTAACTTCGATCCTTCCATTTTTATAGTTTATTTAATGTATGTTATAAAATATCTGTCCATTTGCCTTAAAAAGATTGTTTTATTAGAATGAATGATTTGAAGTTTATTTTTTGTAATATGCCACCTTGACTATGGGTCTACATATTTATAAAACTATGTTACTTGTATATCTAAAAATGTTTCACATAGTGTACTAATGCAGATAATTATATTTTTCTTCCTTCCAGTTTTCTATTTTCATCAAGCACAAGACCTATTTTCACAGGAGAATAGACAAGATCCTATTCAGAAATTGATATCAGGAATAGCTGTAAGTAGTGACTTAAAAATCTTTCAGGATGAAGAGAGAAAAGAGAATGGATTATGTCATAATTGAAATAATCTATATTCATCAACCACACTGGGTAGCCCTGCCAAAAAATGTCAGTAATCTCTATCTTACCTTGAAAGATGTCACATTATTTTCAGAAGCAGTTTCTCAGAAAAAAAAAATGTTCTAAACATGTTTATATTGTACAAATAATTTTGAAAAACCTGAAACTGAATGACGCATATGCTATTAAACATTTAATTCCCTTAAATAATAATTATATTTTGTGACAAGCTATTCAATTGATATATACATGAGAAGATTTTTCTCAATTAAATGAGACTGAAAATATATCATAGGTTTTCTAGTTGTGAGAAGTCTTACACATTTAATGATGTTATTACAACCTTTCCTAGGAACTCTAGGAAGACTATTTACCAGAATCCTCATCACGGAAGGAACAAATTCCCAAAACATCAAATCACTATATGGCTTACTTATTATTTAAATACTTAAAAGTCTGTTTTTCCTAAGAGCCAATACATACACGATAATTTTAAGGAGATTTTTTATTATAACGCACACCTTTATTTTTGTTCCAGCATAACCAGAAAGAAGAGAAGCATTATATAAGCAATCAAAATGAAGAAAGTCAAAACAACTATATGGAATGTGGAAGGTGCTTATACAGATGTGTATGCCTCACGATGTATGAGAGAATTAATCCCAAAGAGAAGCCATACAAATGTAAAGATTGTGGCAAGTCATTTAACCATTATGCAAATCTTCAAGCTCACCAGAGAATCCATACTGGTGAGAAACCTTACACATGTCAAGCATGTCGCAAGTCCTTTACCCAGGTGTCAGATCTTCACAGACATCACAGAGTCCATACTGGTGAGAAACCTTACACGTGTCAAGAATGTGGCAAGTCTTTTGCCCATGTCTCAACACTTTATAATCATCGCAGAACCCATACTGGTGAGAAACCTTTCAGATGTCAAGAATGTGGCAAGGCCTTTACCAGGGCATCAACTCTTTATACTCATCGCAGAATCCATACTGGTGAGAAACCTTACAGATGTCAAACATGTGGCAAGTCCTTTACCCAGATCTCAAATCTTCACAGTCATCACAGAACCCATACTGGTGAGAAACCTTACACATGTCAATCATGTGGCAAATCTTTTGCCCATATCTCAACACTTCATAATCATTACAGAATTCATTGTTGTGAGTAACCTTGTAGATGTCAAAAATGTGACAAGTCCTTTACCCAGATCTCAGCTCTTCATACTCACCATAGACTTCTTACTGGTGACAAACCTTACATATGTAAAGAATGTGGTAAATCCTTTAACACAAACTCAAGTCTTAGAAAGCATAAAAAAAGTCATGTGTGATGTACATTTCATAAATTTTTAATATATCTCACATTAATTTGTTGTACAGATCTTCATACATTAACCAAGTTATTATTGAGACTCGCATCATTCAATTAATTTTCAAAGCCTAGTCAATACATAGACAGCTTTACAGTTCTTATGAATTTAGAAACATTGTATCCAGATTTGGACTTCATTGTCATCAAGCATTTATTGTAAACAGAATTTATGCATCACTGTTAACATACTATTCAAGCATTAACTTTATGAATAAGTAAATATTTCTAGTAGAAGTAAATTAAGCAATAAGGTTTCTTGACTCTGTGTTAAGGTAATGTGTTAAAAACATCCAGTGTCATACTATTTCAGATCTTGATGCATCTTTAATTTCTTGGCATATGCTTGCTTATGTAATGAGATTATGTCTATATAAGCATTATTTTCCTATGATTTTTGTGATATTAAATAAGTATCAGCTTGTTTAAAATTCAGGTCTTCTCATTCAGTGTCTGTGCAATAAAACTGTTAAACATTTGACCAATTTTTATTGTATTTTTTTGTTCTGATAGTCTATTCTCTATTGGCAGGGTTTCAAAAGTGTGAACTCTTCCATGAATGACAACAACAATAAAAACATGTCATAAAATAGATGTAGATTTGTCATGGGATATGTGTACACTGTAAAGATAGATTGGTGTGATTGGTGTAATAGGAAGATTGAATGGACATTATTTAAGCATGAGGTAAAGACAAGACTTCTGGGCAGGGAGAGGAAGTAGAAGGAGGAATTGAGTCCTGCAGGTGAGTTGCTAGTAAGCAGGGAGGAAGGAGCTGGTGAGGTGTGTGGTAGAGTGCTGACTTAACATGGGTTACCAAAAACTCCACCAAAGAACTCCTACAGCTGATAAACACCTTTAGTAATGTGCCAGGATACAAGATCAACTCCCAAAAGTCAGTTGCCCTCCTGTATACAAAGGATATGGAAGCAGAGAGGGAACTCAGAGAAGCATCACCTTTCACGATAGCCACAAACAGCATAAAATAACTTGGGGGTAACTCTAACCAAGGAAGTGAAAGATCTATTTGACAAGAACTTTAAAACTTTGAAGAAAGAAATTGAAGAGGATACCAGAAAATGGAAGGATCTCCCTTGCTATTGGATTGGGAGGATCAAAATAGTAAAAATGGCAATTTTACCAAAAGCAATCTAGAGATTCAATGCAATCCCCATCAAAATCCCAACAAAATTCTTCACAGACCTTGAGAGAAAAATAATCAACTTTACATGGAAAAACAAAAAACCCAGGATAGCCAAAACAATTCTTTTTTTTTTTTAATTTATTTATTTATTAAGGATTTCTGCCTCGTCCCCACAACCGCTTCCCATTTCCCTCCCCCTCCCCTGATCAAGTCCCCCCCCCCTCATCTGCTCGAAGAGCAATCAGGGTTCCCTGACCTGTGGGAAGCCCAAGGACTGCCCACCTCTATCCAGGTCTCGAGGTGAGCATTCAAACTGCCTAGGCTCCCACAAAGCCAGTACGTGCAGTAGGATCAAAAACCCACTGCAATTGTTCTTGAATTCTCAGTATTCCTCATTGTCTATACAATAAAGGTACTTCTGGAGGCATTACCATCCCTGACTTCAAACTATTACAGAGCTACAGAAATGAAAACAGCTTGGTATTGGCACATTATATTTGACGTATGATGTTATATGCATAGAAAGCATATTTATGATTCTGTTCAACTGTAAATTCCACAGAGGCCTTTATCATTTTTCCATGTTATTATTATAGATAAGACACTTCAAAGCCGGGCAGTGGTGGCACACGCCTTTAATCCCAGCACTCGGGAGGCAGGGCAGGCGGATCTCTGTGAGTTCGAGGCCACCCTGGTCTACAAGAGCTAGTTCCAGGACAGGAACCAAAAAAGCTACGGAGAAACCCGGTCTCAAAAATCAAGAAAAAAAAAAAACACTTCATTTATCATAAAGACACATTTGTTATATTTATCAATTTTTTTTCACTTAAGTTGAATGAGGTCTGGGAAGGGTCCTGGGAATGGGAAAGTGTGGGGCATATATATGACTGGGTCCTGTTGTCTAGATGCTCTCTGCAGCCTGGCAGAAAATGGATCACAAATATTTCTCCCATATACCCCCATGTGAACTACATTGCTTTTAAAGTTAGAGGGAATAACCCTTAGCTCTTTTCTTTCTTTTGGTATATGATGTGGTACCTTCTTCAAATGAGTATCATATTTATGTTTTTCAAATATTTCAGAAATGTTTCTTTTAAATCTTTGTTGATGAGTTCCTTTAGAGACATCCAGTGGCAATCACTGCCCATTCATAATTTTCTCATCATTTATACTGAGGGTTCTCATGAAGGTAGAGAGAGAGGCACTGTCTCAGTCACCTTCATATTTTTTTCTCATTCCAAAGTTGTTCACTACAGGAGGGAGGATGGAGTATTAACTTGGGTTGATTTCCCCACAGAAGTTCTTCTCCTTTATGTGCCTGTTTGCAAACGTAGTTTGTCTTTAAAAGTCAAAAGTCATAGACCAAAGAAAGTAATACATTCTTAATATTTAACAGTTAGACATCTTCATTTATGTTTAGTCTGTCTCAAATCACTAGGCTATCTTTAAAAACTGAAAATACTTTGCATTCTCCAAAAGTGAACTAAAAATCATGAGTCCATGACCTTAATTGTGTCAGTGTTGTTTGGAATAAACTTATGTTATGGTGTCTCACGTATCCTAAAACATGATGAGATGAGATGGAACATGTAAAAACCATTCTCACCTTTCAAGATTTGACCTATGTGTTTCCTCAGAGAACTTATAATATTGTTCCCTAGGAGTGTTTATTAAACAATGATGTTTTCCACAAATCCATGATTATTATATCTCAAATAATTATCTTGACAACACATAATATGGAAGGAAATATTTTTAAAGTATCATGTAGGATTTTTACTGTATTTTAATAACTTTAACTTAAGTATTTTTAAATTTTAGCATGCTTACAAAATTTTTACCATTAATAACCTCTTAAGGGTGAATGCCATTAATTGCTGTTAATAGTACATGTTAGATTGGCTTGAGATCACAGAGAGTGAAGAGAGCTATTAACTGTGTCAAACATCTAGAAACATGTGTTTACACACATTCAGCTGCTTCTGTGTCAGAGAAGAAGCAGTTGATAGTAAAGTTTAGGGGACAACAATTGATGATAAATCCATTACACGTATTACACTGGAAGACATAAGTAAATTATCCAAACAGTAGAGACTGTCAAATTGTCAGAAAGATCAAATGGGTTTGGGAAAATAGTCCAGCATCAGAGTAAAGCATTTTTAAATGGTCAGAGAGACTAGACAAACAAATAAAAACTCTGTACAAAGGACAGCAAGAATCAGGCACAAAGAACAGAATTTTTTTCAAACCATATTCTGTGGTTTTGTTTTGCATGCACATGTTCTATCTGTGCTACATCAGGTTCTAATGAAGTCTACAGTCTACTTGTGACAGCGAAATAAGTAAGTAGAGTGAAACCCAAGCTTCAAAGGTTCCATTCTCATTTACTAGGCGTCCTTCTTTATCTATCCCCACATCCTTCATACACAGCTCGTTGTTACTCATGTTTAAGTAAAAATATGGTTCCTAACAGTAGGTCGTCAGTATTTGCTTTTCATGTCAGAATATATGAGTCCATAAGAATCTATCATAACATACTGTGGTAATATTCTGCATGCTTAATGAACAAAGTCTAGTGTTAAAGCATTTTGAACTCTACAGCTTCCATTAAAAGAAGTCAAAAATACTTGCAGTTCTCACAAAATTTCAAAGTCACAAATAACTGCGTTGAAATAAAATTGCTTTCACTTGTGCTTCATTCGACAGCTTCTATTTGTTAATCTAATTAGCAGCCCCAACATCTTTGTGAACCTTGCCAGTAAAAACAAGGTAGAGGTATGATAAGCTTCATAAGATTTTGATCTCCATAAGATTTTGAGTTCAGCTTTCCTTTCCCCACTGCTGCTTTACCTTGGTTGAGTACAACCGGCCAGTGCAGCCTGTGATCTCACTGGATAACTTGACTGCTGAGCAGACCACTTGAACTTAGCAAGGGAGAAACTCAGCATTTTAATCTCTCTTGTTTTCATGAGTATCTGTTTAACCAAGCCAGGAGTAAATACTCCCTGATTTCTGAGGCTCTGCAGATGGTGAGTGTGCGTGTAGCAGGTGAATGGTATTTAGTGATACTTTTTTTAAAAAGCAAATCCTCTAGAGAGAATCCAGGAACAGAAGGTCAGAAGAGATGGCTGGTTCTATAGTAAGTATGTCTCTGCACAGCACCTATGCTCAATTTCTTCTAATGTTGGTATATTTATTTTGCAGATCTTCGCTGCTTCGCATATTCTTGCCTAAGGAGTTTATTTCCTTTGATATTTGCATGTCTGTGTTAAATTATGACAGTTATGATTGAGTCTTTAAATATATACTATTTACACGGTGTCAAATTCCCACTGTTTTGTTTTGTTCTTGCCTGCTCATTTTTTCAAGATAGAGATCTTCAATGAACTGATGATGCTTATCATTAGTGATTCCATTGTGACAGAGGAATATTGTAGTTTCTTGATGCCCAATTCCTCCAGAGACCAACTCACATCCTCATATAAAGACAGAAAATGCAAACATATGGCATGACTTCTGCCCGGGACTCTCTTGGTTTATGAAAATGCATGTTCGTTCACATGAAATGTGTAGCCTAGCATAACTTTTTCAGTTATGAGAAAGTAGATTTAG